GCGAACAGATGCAATCAACGAGGATATTCCCTGTGCAGTTTGCAAAAGCGTAAATACACATATATCTATTATGATTCCTGGACGAGAAACTTGCTACCAAGGGTGGAATAAAGAATATAACGGTTTGCTAGCCTCGGATCATTATGGGTTGAGCGCATCCACCTTTATCTGCGTAGACAAACAGCCTGAATATGTTTCCGGTGGACAGGAAAACAAAGATGGTCGTCGTCTATATTTCACCAGCACTAAGTGCGGCTCTCTGTCGTGTCCTCCGTATAAAGATAATCAAGCAGTCAACTGTGTAGTTTGCTCACAATAAATGCATTGAAATGTTTTGATGTTTTTGTTATCATTTACATGTAAATATGAATTCGAATTGATAGTGTATATCGGCGATCATTGTTTTTCATTACATGGTATCAATATTGCTATGACATAATCAGATGCACGAATACTCTTCACTGTATTGTAATATTGCCCATTATACGACCGGAGTATGGTCGGTCTGAGATCCTTAGTTATGGTTCGTTCATTACGTGAATTATGTAACCAGTTAAGCATGTATAACCTCACAAATAAAATGACAAAACATGCATCAATTTAAGCGAAGCATGAATACACAACTAGGTAATAATGAATAATAACAGAAACAGTACAGTAAAACAAAGAGACTATTGACTATACCACGACTAAGGACAATAGAGTAGCCTCCCATGTTAAATGTTTGCAAATTATTGACGATACCACAACTAAAGACAATAGAGTAACCTCCCATGTTAAATGTTTGCAAATTGCAGAAAACAGTTATCTTTCTTATTATATATAACCATCATATGAATACACATTGTATTGCAATTGGCAGTGGGTCCGACTATTTGTTTGTTCAAACCTTTAACTGAAAGAATACTTATTTTGAATCTGTTGCCAATTTTGTAGGCATTCGTTGATGGATACAGATAAGAAAAAAAGATGGAATATCCCAAATTCATTACGAAAAACAATCCAAAAACTAACGAGAGCCATCGGTGTTTCAAACTCCGATTCCGAAAAAAAAACATCATATAAAACAAATTACAGAATGTTTTATCTCTCCCGAGTCCAACCGAGTTTATCGAGGTCATTTATTCAGTATATTTCGACATTTTGTACGGTCTCTTTATTGTTTTAGTCAGTGTAGGTATCGGTGTCGGTATATGTGTAATTGTAGACGAATTTAAAAAAATGTCTAAGTGAGCATATTAATCCCCGACCGCCTGCAGGACATTGTCAAAAATTTGTTTTTGCAGAAAAAGGTTCCGTTATGCAGGTGTAAAGACTAAGTGATTATTGTATAAAATAATAATCGTATTATTGCTCTTATGATAATTATTTTCAACAAATCAATATCGATTGTCGGCGGCTTCATCTATGGTTGTAACATGAAGTGCATGATGTTTAGTGGCAAGTAAAAATACTTTGTTACAACCCTAGAGAATGCCGACGGGGAAAGGCATCACCCAACCTACCGAAAGCTATATTCTATATATCCTAGTTGATCCAGTGGTCTGGGGCGCTGGACTCAGTGCAGGCGATGCTGCCATGATGTCATAGAAGTAGAGGTTCAAATCCAACTTAGAGAAGAACAATATTTTCTAACGTTGTATTTTGACGTTACATTACATTGAGTACTGGGTTACACTAATGTGGAAAAAAGTTAAGTTCACAATTAGGAAGGGTTCCTTATTCAGTAAGATTAGTTTTCTATCACCTACAACTAAACAGTATCAAGGATCTCGCAGTAAATTTGACTTCATATCCTGATAATGTAACAAGAAGTATTTATAGAGACAAGTAAGAATTATGCAACATTTTCTTCATTTAAAAAAAATGGATGTGTCGGATTGATAAGACTGCTTGTAACCACCGCCAGTTGTTAAAAGTGCAAGATTATTAGCACATGTAGTAACTGGTGACAGATGTAACAGAAAAATCCAGACATGCATGATCATTTTCATGAACTTTCCTATATCAAGGCAGCATAAATTGAGGCTTTTTTTGACATGTTATGTGTAATTTCACAGAAATGCAAAATAGTTTTGTAAGTGCTGATGAACTTTGGAACTAATTTTTCATTGCATTTCATTCAAATTATCTAAAGTAAATGAAGATTCCCACTTACGAACGTAACATTGATATATCTTTACTATAATTAATATAAGCCATGTAAATTGACTAACAAAATATTGGTTAATTTAAAAAAAAAGAATTGAAAATAAATGATAACATAAAGTAATCATATCACAAGATCCTGTTAGGAAATGTATGCATATTAATTGTATGTGTATGAAATTGTTAGCGTTTAAATCACAAAACACGACGTACCTTTTGTTAAATTTAGAAAAATTGCAATTGGTTGATAAAAGAGGACATAGTTTGATGGTTAACATCCCTATTTCCTCTAATGAAATGCGTGGACAACACGTTTATGAGGTCGGAAGGATAAGTAAGTATAACCTTTGTATTACTGAAAATGATATACCGTGTAATACAAACAACTTATGCATAAAAATGTAAAATAACAAAAATACCGAACTCCAAGGAATCAAAACGGAAAGGTCTTTATCAAATGGCAAAATCAAAATTGAAAGTGCCTTATCAAATGCCAAAATCAAAACGTAAAGTCCCTTTAAAATCAAAAGCTCAAACACATCAAACGAATGGAAAACAACTGTCATATTCATGACTTGGTACAGGCATTTCCTTATGTAGGAAATAGTGGATTAAACCTGCTTGTATAGCTAGCGAAACCTCTCACTTGTATGACAGTCGCACAAAATTCCATTATATTGAAAACAATGTGTGAACAAAACAAACAAGCATAAAACGGTAGCAAATCTGTAGTTGGATTCTGAAAATGAATTGTGATAAATCTTAATATCAGAATATCGACATCTTGGATTGTACAATAGCAGTACACAATCGTTCTAGTTCTTTGCCTATATCTGCAAATTTTGAGACAGATTTGCAATTTATGTGTAAGACTGTTTATTTGTATAAAGATAAATAAGTGATTTATTGCATTATTCAAAATGTTTAAACAAATACCAAATATTTGTGTTTTTAGAATCAATTTTTCAACTTAGCCATTTAAGGGGAGATAACTCTTATTGTAAATTTTTTTTATACTGGAATGATAGTGAAATTTTTATTTTTTACTTGTAGCAAGAAAACAAGTTCTGTGACATTATTTTTTCTTTTTATTTTCTTAAAGCATATTATAAAACCTATTTTCTCATATTTTATTTCAAAATTCTATCTAACAGATTTCTTTTTATTCACAAAAATGTGTTTTTTTCATGAACAATTTATGCAAATTTGTGCAATTTTGCACGACTTGTAGCTTGAAAAATAGCACGGTGATCCATACTTTTTATTATATTTTTGAAAAAAGGATAGTAAAATCTTCATTTTGGCAAAGTATAAGAACATTCTATCTGAGGAAATATATACCGATGATCCACCTTAATTTATTACCAAACGTCATCATGTTAATAATGACTTAACTTACTTCGCTTTACAGATATTTTCAACAGTTTCTACAGGTATTTAGACAACATGCCCTTTTAAACAATTTGGTTGTTTTTTTTTCTCAATTATACATTGTCAAACGAAATTTATTCATCTCGACTTACTCATACTAAATCCAAAGTTAACAATATCGTTGTCTTTTGTAGAAGTTGATATAAGAAATTTGAATGGTCAACCCTAAACCAAAATGTATGAAAACGTTTCTATCATATTTTGGTTTGTTATCTTTGATGTTCATATTCCTTTTGAATTATAATGGAGTTAGTTTTCTCATATATTCGCGTATTTGCATTGACAGCCAATATTTCAATGAACGTAAAATTTGTTTGTTTGTACTTTATTCCTGTCACGTAGTGTTGTCATTTTAGCAGTAATTTTAACATTGTCATATTAGCGAGAGGTTTGGTTAGCCATTAAACCAGGTTCAATCCACCATTTTTCTTAAAATGTCCTGTATCAAGTCAGGAATATGGCAGTTGTTATCAGACAGTCCGTTTCTATGTATGTTGGCGTTTGCTTTTGTTGTAGTTCAGTGTTTCTATTGTTCCTTTGTTTCCCTCTTATATTTAATGTTTTCCCTAGGATTTAGTTTGTTACCCGGATTTGTTTTTGCTCAATCGAATTATGACTATTAAACAGCGGTATACTACTGTTGCCTTTATTCCCCATCACATACAAATAAACAGTATCAAGAATCTCGCAAATACTTTGACTATATCTCCTGATAATGAAACAATAATTATAAATAGAGACAAGTAGGAATTATGCAACATTTTCTCTATATCGTAAATAGTTGGGTGTGTCGGATTGACCAGACTGCTTGTACCCATTGCCAGTTATCAAACGTGCAAGATTATTGGTAGTAACTAGTGACAAATGTTACAGGAAAAATCCAGACATGAATGATAAATTTCATGAATTTTCCTATATCAAGGCATTTTAAATTTGGGCCCCTCGAAACGTCTTATGTGTAATTTAACACAAACGTTGAATAGTTTTGCAAGTGCTGATGAACTTTTGGACATTCTTTTAATTGCATTTTATTGTAATAATATAAAATAAATGAACTTTTTTATTCCTTTCCGGATTTTATAAGTGTATACTCAGCCTCCAACTCACAAACGTAACATTAAATAATTATTGCACGATTTAAGTAGGCCATATAAACTGGTTAACAATATAATATCATTTTGCAAGACAAAAATAAAAAAAAATAATGATACAGGAGGGAGGAAAAACAAGTATTTACATCACAAGATCATTGAAGGAAAAAAAACACCAGACCTTTTGTTTAATCCAAAACAGAAAAGAGATTGGTTGATAAAGGAGGACATAGTTTGATTATTTACATCCCTATATCCTCAAAGGAAATGCATGTACTACACGTTTATGTGGTCTGCAAGATGATTAAATATAACTTTGTATCACTGGAAACTATATAATACAAGCGATTTCTGCATAAAACAATATGAAATCTGTAGCTGCGCTCTGAAAGAGAAGTGTGATGGAACTTAATGTCTCTGTAAGTTGAAAAGCTTTCTCTTATTTTAATATCTATCTCAGTTATTGCCAAACTTCATTATGTTAATAATGACTAAAACAGCTTTACAAATATTTTCAACAGTTTCTATATGTATTAAGACAAAAATCTGGCTGTTTTTCTTTTAATTATACATTGTCAAATGAAATTTGTTCATCTCGACATACTCATACTAAATCCAAAGTTAACAATATCTTTGTCTATTTTAGAATTTGATAAAAGAAATTTTAGTAATGGTCAACTCAAACCAAAAGTATGACAAACGTCCCTATCCTATTTTTTTTCCTCTCTGCCTTGATGTTGATATTCCATTTGGTTTTTAGTAGAGTTATATTTCTCATGTATTCGCGTATTTGCATTGACGGCCAATATTTCAATGAACATAAAAGTTTTATTATTTAACTCCATTTGAAACCCAAACGGAATATGTAGCACAATGTAAAATAGTTTCAGTGTTTTGTTCTGTTTACAGTTCCTAGCCTGGTCTTTTTTGCAGTTTGTCGACTTATCGTTTTGAATTGCCCCATTGAATCGTCTTTTGAGGAGGTTATTTGAATTTTTACATGTTTTAGCAAATAAATTAAATTAAGAGGAATGCTACTGTTTTTTGTTAGAATACTTACAATTCTAGTCCAGGGTAAATTTTTGATCATGAAGGTTTTAGCAGCATACATTAGTAATGTTGATGGACAATCAATTCATGGATATATTCCCTAGATAAAAGAAACAGTTTCTAGTACAAATATAATGTGTCCGGTAGCCTGCTAGCATCGTCCCTCAAGTTTTCGATTTTTAAGGGAACAAAGTTGCAACTTGTTGTGTCGAACATGCTCGGCTATCCTGTAACTTTAAAAAAGAATGAATTTACTTGGCGTTTTACATAGGAAACCAACAGAAGGAAATGGTTATGTTGTAGCCGATCGTTCCATTTTAAAACCGTTAAATAAGATTTTCTATCAGCAAGGCCATTTAAAAGACATTCCAAGTAGTCTTTGTCAAAATAGAACATTAGTTGAAGCAATTTTTTCTCAAAACCAGATTGCAAATACCACTAAAAACGAATGTTTACACATTCATGACACTTTAGACATGTCTTTTAATAGAATTTCACGATTGAAAATATAACATTCAGGATGTTGACCTACCTGAGAGATTTGGATTATTGCATAATAAGATTCAAAATGTATCGGGCCAAATACGTTTAACTATCGTTCAGGATCTATAATGAAAATGTATCTTCAAGGAAATTTCATAAAAAGCGTTGATGTCTCAAACCTTCATCTCGATTATTGGTATTGCTTTATAACATAGAGCGACAACTATATCTCGAAAATAACAAATGAATTAAATTGTAAATTCAATATTTTAAATGGTGGAGGAATGATTGCCGTAGAATTTATAGTGTGCAATAGTTAGTATTCACCTTTTAGATTACGAAAAGTGCTGTTGTTAAATATCCTGTACATTTGGGTAATAAATCACTAAAATCTGATTGGAATGTAGGACGTTTAATATAAATGTTTGAATACACAAGCAAACACTTTGGTCAAGCCCGCCAATTCTACAGATTTAAGGGGACTAAAAGTTTGATAAATGAATAAAAGAGACACACTGAATTTGTAAGAATATTCAGTCTTGTAATAACAAATAAGAACAGCATTTACTATACATTAAAAAGTAAAATGAAAAAAATTCCGAACTCCACGGAAAATTCAAAACGGAAAGTCCCTTATCAAATTGCAAAATCAAAAGCTCAAACACATCAAACGAATGGAAAACAACTGTCATATTCCTCACTTGGTACAGGCATTTCTTTATGTAGAAAATGGTGGATTAAACCTGGTTTTATAGCTAGCAATCTCTTATCAATATTATTCAAATGTAATTAAAAATAAAAATATTCAACTTTCCCACCAACACATTTTTTAGGTAAAGAATACGATATTTGTACATTGTTTCGATCAATACTAAAATAAGTCAAAATTGCGGTTTTTAGCTATCCACCAGCATATATGACTAGGAAATATATTAAGAACTAATACATAATATTATAAAAACTTAAAAAAATAAACACGTTGCACCTTGATATTGTAGATTTAAGTAAATATTGACTATACTTTTTCAAATGGATCTTGCGTGAAATACATTCAAGGGACATTGGCCTTACCACCTAAGATCAAAAACTTTGTACTTTGAAGAGGAGGTTTCAAATGTTTGTTACCAAGAGTGATTAAAATTAAAATATCGATTTAAATTAAAATTATTTTTTTCGAAGTTTGCTCAATCATACTGACGAAATAAAATTTAAAAAAACAGACCTTTTGATCTTTGAAAACTACTAAGCTACACACTTTTGTATCTATCTTAACATATACAATTAACCATTCAATCAATTCATCCGCTCTTCTACAGAATAATATATTTGCCACTGGAAGTAATGCAAACATCAATCCATCAATCAGTTTAAATGTTTGGTTTTGGTCAAAATCAAGGATGTCAAATATATGACGTTGCTTGCTTTAATACTAATAACCTTTTCTAAGTGATCAACTGGTTATTGATTTGATTCATGTTTCAAAAATATTGAAGTTGTAAGTTTGTCTATCACTATAGTAATTCAGCAACACGTTGTTCGTCGAAGGTAGTGTGATCTTTGGAAATTTGTCAGATAACTTCAGTATAGCATTGTGCAATCGGATAACCTCGGGTGATTCCGCGTCTCCACGTCTTTAGATAGAGGTACGGAATCGACCGAGTTGTGAGAAATTTAGCATTGTGCGTACATATTGTACTTCCCGAATAATTGTTGTATAGTGTAAAGTATTTGAAGTAGTGAGGATTTTAACATAATTCTAAAATGGCAAACGAGGTTCATTAGATTAATAACAGATACAGACAATCTTGTTCCGACTGAGACCTTACTCAAACAATTAAACTGAATGACAGTTGAACATATAATAAGCTTTTATAAGTTTGGGATTACCTGTAAGTGTATAAAAAATGAAGGCCCATCATATCTTACTGACAATGTTGAGTATGTTTCAGACAGTATGTTTGAGAAACGCTGTTTAAGGAAACCTGATATTTAATAAACCAAATATCGAAAATGAAATCGTTTATATATTCTGTACCATCCTTGTGGAAAAATTTGCATTATTTGTTTAAAAATATTACATATCTTAAAGCTTTCAAATACAAAATAACAGACCATTTATTAAAATCAACTTTAATTATCTTATCATGTTTATTTTTTTCATTCAATGCAGTTGTATTGAACACTATACTTGAGATTTTTATATATGCTATATACATGTTTTCGTTTTAGTTTTTAGCAAAGTTTTTTTTTTATTTTCTGTGACAACGGTCTCATGAAAAATTGTTTTGACAACTTACTGGTTAACCCTTTTAAAATAAAGTACTTTATGTAACATCGTCCATTGCTATGTGAAAACGCGTCACAACAATTCGATTAATGTATTGAAGATGTCCCAAACCTTAAAGAAGCCAGATAAGCGACTTCATATTAGATCTAAGCACTGTCACATCATTGTTCTCATTGATGACAATAGGCAGGTATTCTGATAATGATAATCCTCTGTTTTCCTCTTTCAAGATGATTGAATCAGCTTGCGCATTTTAAGATCAAATCCCTTTGTTTGATCACAAATCATGATGATAAATGTGTGTTTATTTTCATTGTTTGAAATTTTTCTTTTAACTTTTGAATTGAGGTTTTGATTTAAAGTCGACCGTTGTACCATATGTCCTTCTTGTTGTTGTAGAAGGTGAATAACCTTTTTTGTTTAATTGGTGTGATATATATTGGTCGCACGCAACAACTTACTGACCATATCATCTGCTTACGGTTCCATGGATGTCTTTCGCCATCTTGGATTGAAAATTAGCAGAACTCAATAGGTTTTTAGCAAAGTATAAAAAATTCTCTCATTTTTTTGTTTACACTCCCATGCCACCTTAACCATTCTGCATATTGAAAAAATTTGACCGGATGTTACTTTTTTGTTCCAGACCGGATGCTACTTTTTTGTTCCAAGCAACACATTGTGTTTACGATCCATTCTTATTGGCTGACAGTTTTTGTCGTTGTTTTGTCATCTTGGTACATTTTTTCAGTGTTAACTTTAAATCAGTATAATACTTTGCAAATGACAAAATAAACTTAAATATCAATTATCTGTGTAAAACTACTTAAAAAGTGTAGTGCTGGTTGTCAATATCTAATAACTAACCCCAGAATAACGCCAAACATCATTTCTTTAAAATGAACCCTATTTAAACGTAACAAATTCCAGGGAACATCGCACTCTCAAAACATTCTATTTGTCAGTTTCGCAATTAACCCTGTAACAAAGGGAACGGAGATGAATGTTATTAAGAAGCATAAACAGATGGTTGGCAAATTTCTCATTAACAAACTCAGACTTTTTGGTTTGCGATATTTTGAAAGGAAGCCAAAAGTCCATATATAATAAAAAATCGACTTGCTCGAATAGTTAACTTTAATAGAACACCAACAGAAAACAACATACTGCTATAGTTAATTCAGAGCCGTATAATGTTACATATCATATAATATATTTCTGATTAAAGTTGACCTTGCAAACAAATTTAATGCGCATTAGTTTGAAAGTTCCTGGTTTTTTCTTTTCTTTTCCCTGAAAAAACCCATAGCATTTCCCTTTCTTTCTCTTTAAAATACCTTATAAGAATAAGTGTTACGATCTCAATGACTCTCGTCCTAAAGCAAGACAAAATAAACTCCATAAATATCTACATTCTCGCATAACTTAATATTGTCAAACATTTTATACATTATTCATGATATAATTCCCAGAGTTTTGGTGAATGTGTTTTGACTGAAGACGTTACTCCAAAAAATACTGTCGTGAAATTATACTAATTCTCGCCACTGAATGATTTATCCCATAGAGTTCTTACATCCATTCTATCCGCATACTCTC